GTGTAGGACTCTTAGACTTTCTGTGTCTGGGAATTGGTCTGCGTTCCATTCACTTATCTCTTGCACTTCTGCCACCATAGTGCAATGCGTGCTCTACTGTATTCCCGTCTGAAGTGGTTTTAGGGCCAGTGTAATTACAGACTTTTTAATATAATATAATAGAATCATTTATATTCAATATTCATTACATGTAATACTAATTGAAAGTCATTTTTACCGCTTAGCACTAAAAAAAAAAGTATGAAGAGACCAAAAATATGACCTTGACATTTCTATTTTCACGCATGAATTACACGCAAAATTTTCAATAGATTGGTCGCTTTTGCTTATGTGAAAATTAAACTAGAAAAAGAGAGACAAATATATTTAATCAATTTATGTAGAATTGTAAGTTCTATTTACACGTATGTGTGTAATTATTCATTATCATAGCCCGATATAAATACCATTAATTAGGACAACTTATTTTGAGAGGAAGTTAAAATCAATTCGTATATGTTATAAATAATACAAAACTATATTTTTTTGAGACATCATGAAAGAAAAGTACCGCTCAGGAGCGTGCTTGGCGATACACGGTTGATATATATATGGTTATTTAGCCATATATCGAAAGCTATTAGATTTTTCATGACTTTTCTCTTAATAGCCTCCTACACCTCTGAAACGTAACTGGAATTCATTAACGCCATTAAGTAGTGGCTACACGGCAAACGAGTTATAGTACACTCCTAATTCTTTGAAGTTGCCGATGCAAGAAACTCTATGTTTTGAATAATTGTTCACCTCTTCCTTAGTTCCTTTTCCATATTTTCTTAGTGCATATTTACGTTACTTATTTTTATTTCAAATATAATACTGAAGGGAAAAGGACAAATATACTAATTCAAATTGTTTACAAAGTTTTTACTACAAAAAAATTCCTCCCTGATTATCGCCTTATTATTTTAAAGAACGCTATTCGAAAATGCTTTCAATAAAACATTTCACTCAACGAAGAAAACAAACTACTTTATGTTTTGCCATTAAAATAGCTTATAACAATCAAAGGAGTATCATGTTCACTACACACTATATCCAATAAAATATACTGTAACTTTTTTTTAAATCTTTATTGAGAAATAGAGGATTTGATCAAGCATGATCATACCATCCCCATAGTTACCGACGTGATAATTAAGATATACACAATTTAATATTGTTATCTACGTTTTAAAGCACAATCAACCAATATGTATACGAATCTCGCTTTCTCTGATAAGGGAGTAGCAAGAATACTATTACAAACACCAATGTCATGCAAGCTAATGCCGTAAGCAAGCCCAAAGGATATCCTCTCAGCTTCGTTCCGGGCACATTCCACTAAAATATGAAAAACATCTTCAATGAGATTACAGTCAGTGCATTTCATGGAATTAACTTTGCCCATTAGGTAAACAAAACTATTCAGTTGGATATGTCCGGAGCGTAGTCTCATAGCAGTTACAATGGTGCGTCTCGACAAATTGGAATTAATAAACCAAGGATAACGGGACAAATTATTTTGGATTGTTTCATACCATATGCCTTTTAATCGAGATCGCTCATCAAAATATTCGTTCCACACTTTTCTACATTTATTTTTAATCATATAAAAAACGTCGGTATAATGTGGCAAACAAACTGAAGGGTCTCAATGTGGCAAACACCCTCAGGCAAGGCCTGTCTAGCGAGATAGTCTGCTTCTTCATTTCCTGTCAGGCCTACGTGTGAAGGTATCCATTGTAAAACTATTGTGTAATTTTTTGTGGCTAAAGAGGAGTGAAGAGAGAGAAATGACTCCAAGATATTGTATGCTATCGGTGTGCCTCGACTATTCGAGGTGCATCGAGCAATGTGTCATTGTAGTGCACTCTTGGAATCCGTTAAAACGACGTATTTTCCCGATTGAAAAGATTGAATATGAGAAATTGCTTCTGATATTGCTATTAATTCTAACAACATTATGGAGACATTTGAATCAATACGCAGTTTCACTGAACAACCCACTTGCGGGTCATAAATAGCTAGACCGCCACAATTACTTTCCTTTGAACCGTCCGTATGAATTTTGTAATAACTTGAATATGTATTTTTAATAAAACTGTAACACAGTTGTTGTAATGTCAAGGAATTATAACTTATTTTAGCGTTACTTACGGCATCTATGTTAAACTTATTTATATTCGAAGTATTCACATTGCAGGGGCTTTTATTTGCACCTCCAATAAGAATTTTGACTTAAAAGAACTAGGTCGTCCAAAATGGCAATAATCTTGTGGTTAGAAAAGGATTTCGCCTTTAACCAATACTTTCCGGCTAGATAATATCTTCGTACATTTAAAGGCGGTTTAGTTCGCACTTCGCACTCCATTACGTATGTAGGTGTTGTTTTAATAAAACCACCGATTACCCGCATACACTGATTCTGAATTTTATCTAGCTTGCTTGTGTGTGTCTTGCAACTACTACCATAAAGGAAACTTGCGTAATCTAATCTGCTACGAATACACGATATGTATATACGCCTTAAATGAGTTGGTGAATGCCCCTACCTGTCCCCGCTAAGATTTTGAAAACATTAAGCGCTTTTGAAGATTTTTTTTTACTTCATTTATTTGTTTAGACCATCGTAACTTCCTGTCTAACCTAATACCTAAATATTTTACGCAATCAACTACTTCTAAAGAAATGCCACTAACAGATATAATACAGAGTCCCGTACAAATTTATTTTGGAAAAACAAATATTACTTTTGAGATCTGAAATTTCTAGCCCTGCAAGAGAAAGAAAACTAACAAACTGATTTAAAGATAGCATATAATAATAAAAAATAATAGTAATTGGTTTCTACCTTCTTCTATATTACTACAGGTGACATATAGAACGAAATCGTCGGCGTACTGTGATATAAATACATTATTTATTGACTTGCAAATCTCCATTGTTAAGATATTAAATAAAAGCGGGGAAAATGGATCGCCTTGAGCTAAACCTAAAGAACATTTCCTTCTTATTACCGAGTAGTATCATCTATCTCAATACTTAGGTTTCTCTCTTTTAAAAAATTCCGTAGGTTTGTACATATTTTATAACCTATTCTCTATAGTATCTAAAATATCTAATAAATGTTATTTCTAAATTTACATTGTTGTATGCACTGTGAATGTGAACAAAGCAAGCAATCGTTGATTGTTTTTTCGAAAATCCTAGTTGGACTCTTGACACAAAGGTAGATAAATTATCTAAAATGGAGCGCCCTTTTCGAAAACGATATGTTATGTTCAACATACCATTCTAATCTTTTAATCAATCAAAATTATGCAGTATTTTACATACACAGCAAATCATAGATATAGGTCGCCAAGAAGAGTCAGATTGAGGATCTCGGTCGGGCTTTGGTATAGGTATTATGGTGATATTACGCCACTGCTGGGGAACTAAACCTGTTTCTAAAAAAATATTATAAAGCCTGACTAAAATAAATTTTGCATTATCCGGCAAATTATATAACATTGAATAAGAAATGTTATCACTACCAGGAGAAGTGTCTTTAGTGCGCAAGCTATTGTCCAATTCGAGTCGAGATATCTGTGTCTCAATCTTAAGGTTATTTGAATTAAATATCGAATCCTCAGTACAAACGAAATCCGGTGCCAGGCTTTGTAATAATCCAAGCGCCTTCTCTTTACTAATACTAGATCGCGGTACATAGCATCCCTTAAACCATTTCTTTTTTTTCCAAAAAACAGTATGAGATGTCGTCCCGTCTAATGAAGTGCAGAAGTCTTGAAAACCTCTTACTTTTTGCTATACGAAGACTTCTCTGGCATTCCCTAATCTTCTCCTGCAACTTGTCAAAATTAAATGGCATGGGGTTACGTCAAAATGTTGATAACGCTAACCGTCCTTCGGCTACTAACGTTGATAAGGAACTATTCCAGTAATGTTTGGGAATGAAATTTTTCTCGGGGTCAGAATTAATTTTAATATATGAAATGTGAATGTCTGAAGCTATATTAATCAACTCGATAAATGAATCATATTTTTTTGTGAGTCTTCCGTGATAATAAAACCTTGCATAAGAGTTTCTATTAAGTTGCGATACTTAGACCAATCGGCCTTTTTATAATTCCTGCGTACCGTGGGTACAGATGATCGCTGCCAAATGTTTCATTAAGTGTGCCCCAATTAAATTTACACTCTATATCTGAGGAAGCCAGTGATATGTCTGGCGAAGATTGTTGTACTGACAAAAATCTTCGCCAGACATATCACTGGCTTCCTCATATATAGCGTGTAAATTTATAATAGAAAATTTATAATAGAATAATACAGTTATTATTCACTAATTTAATACGAGTAGGGTTGCCATTATTCAATGTTACGAGATCAGTATCTAAAAGTGCGTCATTAATCTGGGTACCTCTTTGATCTAATTTATGAGAACAATTTGTGTGGTGTCCATTATAATCGCCTAGAATAACTACTTTATTGTTAAAACGAGAAAAAATTTGTTCCCAATCACTTAGGCTCGTGTGAATTAACGGAGCACAATATAAGGATAACATATACTGAACATGCTCACAGTTGCAAATCTTAACACAAATTATCTCAATCCCTGGGTTACAGCTTTCGAACGACACATAACTTGACTGTAGACCAAGACCGCAACCCTACCATAACCGTCATCCCTATCCTTACGATATATCGTGAACTATTTACTTTCAGCTGACTATCTCGTTCCAACCACGTTTCGCTGAGTGCAGCAATGTGAATTTTCAGTTGACTCAGAGATTGCTCTAAGGGAATTAATTTCGGTTAAATACTTTGACAATTCCATTGTGCAATATTTAATCTAACAGATTTCTGACTACGAGACATTGGAGGTAAAATAGTCAGCAATAATCTTACATAAAGGCCACTTTGGTACGAATTGTACACTCAATAAGATTAACCACTCTAAACAACACTTTAACACCCTATGCTCTTCCATCGTCAATTCCCTTAAAAATATAATTTCTTTTAGTCTCACTAATAGCTCGTCCAAACGAAGAATTCTTTTTCTCTTCACCAGCAGCCGCATCAGGAGGCACTGTTGACTCACTATTCATTGTAGATGAGTTTATCGGGAGCTCCAACCTACAAGAAGCCGTGTCCCTCCTACGAGTACGTCGAAATCTCATTGAAGTATTGGCAGAAGTGTTTTTAACCTCATTTACATTCTCTTTATGCAATGTGATGTCAGTTTTAACTATCTCTAGAAATGTGGAGGTATCACGTTCTTGGAATCTACTCTCCGTTTGTGAGATCATGTTGGTAGGAAGGTTGTCAGACTGTTGTCGAAAGCTATCTTTTCCAAGTAAGGAAGCTGGGGGCGGTACATATACTGTTAAGGCTTTCCTATAAGTACAGTTAAATTCTACCATGATTTCTCTCAACCTCTTCTCCTTTAAAAAGGCTGGGCATGAAGCTTTATGCAAGGTCATATGGTTTCCACCACAGTTAACACATTGGAAATTCTTTGTTTCAGAGTTTTCATGACTACCACCGCATTTCGGACGGACTGTTTTACTGGAAGGGCATTTCTTTGTAGGGTGACCATATTTCCAGCATTTCGAGCATTGCGATACGGGAAATACATAAGGAGTAACTTTTATACGTAATCCATGAACGTATATGTACCGTGGAATAAATGAACCTTTAAAGCAAACTTGTACCGCTTCACTTGGCTGCCAACCTTCTCCGTCTCTGTTTCGACGTTTAAGACTATGTGCTCGCTTGTCACCCTTTTCCTATATAAAAAAAACTTAATGGTACACGGCATTCCGCATTCCACGACGTGTAATGCGGAATGTATGCGCACGATCGCGTATTTTCCGTACTTTTTTTATAGAATATGTCTGACAAATAAGTATACAGTGCACCTAATGATAAGTGGATACTAAGGACTATAGACATCTACATTCATCCTCGATTAAGATCCAAAATGCAGATGTGTTGTCACCTCTGAGGACTAAGATGGAATGTCTCGTTTTCATTAAAAAAGGCCTCCGATTCTCTATACTCACCATACGAAACACAGCAGCGTTGAGCTGCTATTTTATTTTACGCTGATATTGGTAAATATGTGGTATTGGTGCTACGACCATAATATAACCAGAGCTTGGCTCTACAACGTAAAAAATCCACCGCGTATAAGCAGAAATTACCGTTATTCGGGCGGTCCTAGTCTCTCGAGGAATCATATTAAACACTTTTTGATATCGCCATTATCTCTGGGAACAAACCCAGTACTTCGAGGTACGTAGCCCTGTAGTAAGCAATTGCAGACCACATGACGGTAAATGGCTATTACTTTCCGTGGACAGCTGCAGACCAGTACAAATAAAAGAGGCTACAGATGCGATGTCACCTCTAAGGACTAAGACGGAATGCCTCACAGCTTATAATTATTCTGGATCTCTATACCCCTACCTCTTAATCCGAAGCATATTTTCAGTGACAGCACTATATATTTGCCGTCAGAAATAATCAAGAGATTGGAATCCCTAACATTACTAGCACTTATAAATAATAATAAAATAGCAGCGTAAAATAGCATCATGCTGTTAAGCATGGCGAGTAACGAGACATTCCATCCTAGTCCTCAAGTTCCTATGGTCCTCATTTCATCATTATCACCTTTAGAGCCCTTCACAAGTAAACTGCTGAACATAGGCCTCCCTGAAGGAATGCCACAAAGCACGGTTTTTAGCCACCTGCATCCATCGACTTCACGCATGTCTTACCAGGTCGTCGCTGCATCTAGTGGGAGGCCGCCATACACTGCGTCTACTGGTTCGAGGCTGCCACTGGGGAAACTTTCTTCCGCATCGGTTGGCACTTCTTTGAGCCAACCAGCTAACTAATCTACTCTTCATTTTCTGACACGTAAAATATATTAAGCACTAATGTAAAATATAATATTCTCTTTATATAACTCTCTATTTTGTTTGTCTTCTCATTAATATTAATAAATTAAAAAAAACTTTTATTATTATTAATACTGTTTTATTTAAAAGTTGAATTATGATTGAATTAAACTAATTTTATGAATTTTATCACGTTTAATTTAAATTGGGAGTTGGAGTGCGTTATTTGACGTCCTGATAATCTTATGTTATAGTTAACGAATGCTTCCTTTAACTTTTAGATATTATATTTATAATGATATTTGAAATTTAATAAATTTACGACTAAATGCGATAAAATCCCTATAACCAGTGTTATTGTATTAAGGTATGCAGGTTTAGTCACTGATTTTTTCTCTTACCACCGAGCACAACTTCTAAAGTTGTAATGAACAATTTTAGTGGTGCCAATGGGGATCGAGTTCGTGTCGCGTACTGAAAAATTAACTTCGAGCACTTAGCACCTGAGCAACCATAACTCTACATATTTGTATTCTATACAGTATTAGTACAAGCTGGCCATACAGACTTTATTTTGTCCTTCTTAGGCCCTATATCTGTCCTTTAAGTAAATCTAGTTACGTATACTACCCAAGGATGCAAAACGCTGTGCTTATCTGTGGCAACCCGGGTGACAAGTTCTAAAATAATAGCTCCCAACTATTTTAAAAAATTAAATATTGTAAAATGATAATATCCACCTCAATTTCTAGTTACAGTTGATAAATAGGACTTAATTGTGTTTGTAAAATAATAAAAAGTGTTTTCTATTTCAGCTAAAAGTACAGCTGTAACATACAAATCGTTTAAACATTCTGTAAGTGTAATTCTTGTTATCCCTTCAATATTTTAAGATTTACTTTTTAAGTAAGTATTGTTTCGGATTTCAATTTAAATGGAAATCCGAAACAACACTTACTGATTTAATTTGAGATCTGTAAATAAACCCACTGTAGCGGCGCTGTCGTCGCCGCCACAAGCGAAAACACACCGAAGCCTAAATCGCGCTATCAACATTCCGAATCATAAACAGTATATATAGAACATCTCCGAACTATCACACGGAGTGTTGGCCGCTCCCCCGGGCAGAACACCTTGCCCGGCGGGAGATCTCCCCTTTTCCTTTCTACGGCCACAGTGGTGACCCCGACGTGATCTGAACACGCAACCAATAACCTTCGGAAACTTCAAGCTTCATCATCGTCCCAGAATATCCCACCCATTCGCTCCCGAGCAGATATCCTCTGCAGTCTTCATATCCTGCAAGCCATCTAGCTTCACAAGGTTCATCGCAGCACTGGAATAATAATGCTTCCTGTTCCTTCAAGCTACACTCTGCGCTACAGTGTTCAGCAAGGCTCTGAGCCTTACTGCTCGCCTCTGCTTCACGGCACTATCGCAGATTACTTGCCTTCTTCTCGACTCACCGCAGACTACAAGGCAAACTCCTGGCACTTGCACATTCGTAGGCAACGAGGCTGCACTATCGACCTCCGGTCTGAACAGGGGGGTGATGTAGCGGCGCTGTCGTCGCCGCCACAAGCGAAAACACACCGAAGCCTAAATCGCGCTATCAACATTCCGAATCATAAACAGTATATATAGAACATCTCCGAACTATCACACGGAGTGTTGGCCGCTCCCCGGGCAGAACACCTTGCCCGGCGGGACATCTCCCCCTTTTCCTTTCTACGGCCACACCCACAAATCTAGATATTTGCTATTTTTGTTTCTTTGGTTTTCTTTCTTTGTTTTCTTTTGCTATTTACACATGATACTAAAATAAATACATGCAACGCCAAAACGCGCCAAATGGAGAACCAATTTCAAATGGCGCTTCTAGAACTTAAGGCGTCAAAGAAGCAGTGTGAGCTGTTGCTTAAAGAAAGGTATGTCAACGAAAACTAAATAATAATTATAATTGCCAAAATACTCTGCTAAAAGTGATATGATTAAGTTGCATAAAGACTATACGAATGTTTAAAAGAAAGGAATCAGCTTCAAAAAACAGTCGATGAGATTTACCGATGCAGCAAGGAATATGAGGAATCGCTCAGATTAATTGCTGCATTGCAGTTACAGTTAAGTGAAGCTAATGAGCAAATTGTGCAATTAAAACAATACATAGATAACTCGAAAGCGTCCCAAACTTAGTCTGTTAAATGAGCTCATAGAATATTAATCTTCAAAACAATGCAACCCTCCACAATAACCGATCAATCGATTTGATGATGTTATGATTTTGTCACATCAAGAACAGCAGGAAGTATTTCATGCAGTAAAAGAAAATTAAAGAAAAACATAAAAAATATTAAATATGTTAGGAAAGTACAAAAGTTAATTAAAACTAAAATTATGATAAAAAATATATAAATATATGTAAGGTAAAACATGTACTAATTAATAAACATAAATTATATTAATTTGAGATAGAAAATATAAAAAACTGTTATGAGACTGAAATAGAGTGCTTCATAAGTCGCGTTTAAATGGAACTAAAACTAAATGTGTGAAATTTGTAACTCCTGTCAAACATGTTAATACTAATGTAATTTTAAATGGGGAGTAACTGAGTCTTGTTCATACCACCATTTTTCTTGGAATCACACTAGATGCAAAACTTCAATGGGGCCCCATATATCAAAACTAGCTAGCAGACTCAGTTCTGCAGCATACGTTGTCAAAAAGAAGAGAACTCTTGCCAGTGTAGAAACAGCTAGAATAGTTTACTTAGCATAATGTCGTATAGTATTTTGCTATAGGGACCCGCGACTGATACTAAAATTATATTTGTTTTAAATGAAAAGGCTATTAGAACAATATATGACTCAAAACCTAGAGAGTCGCTCAAACAAAAATTTAAAGAAATTAATATATTAACTCTGGCCTTAATTAGTACTACAAAAAATTTTTGCAAAAATAAGTGATATTTATTCTATAAATACTGGGAACAGACACAAGCTAGTAGTACCAGTTACTCGACTCATTGAATATGTAATTTCATTCTTGGGGCGATGTTTTCGGTTTTACAACAAAATCCCATTAAATATACAAAATTTGACATGCACAAAGTTCAAAAACTTTATTAAACTAAGTTTGTATAAAAAGGGTTATTATAATATTAAGGAATTTATGGATAATAATAACCCCTGGGAAGGGTGATTGCTTGTAAGGTACGTGATTGTAAGCTCTTATTAAAAAAAAAATAACCAACATGAGAAAAAAGTATAAAATGACGCTAATGAACAAGAAGATTTACTCCACCCAAATGTAGAGAATGATGAGTCCCGCTGGGTTTCTTGCTAGTTCTTCCCAGGACAGAGGTTATTTTGCGAACCAGTGGTAATGAAAAAAGTGACTTTCAATATGTATTATTTATAATCCATGTTGAAAAAAAAATTATTTCTGTTTCTTTAAAATCTTATGTGCTTTACAAATTCAATGTAAAAAATATTGAAGGTCACTTATTGGTATAA